CCCATAACAAAATATATAACCAAGATTGTTTTGGCAGTTTTGGGTTAAGATCCATTGCCTTTAAGTTGTGGGGAAGGGGGAGGAAAGATATAAAGAGATTGTGTAATAAATGAACCACATGCAATATCCAAATGAAAACAAGCCACACTTTTGTTTGGAAACTTGAGCCATATTAATTAGGCAGGATGAGAATATCCTGTAATAAGGACTGTATACATACCTTCCATACATTATTACACTCCCTCCATTTTCATTCATCCTCTGAGAACACGACCTGGCTAATAAACTATCAAACTATCAATGGGTTGTACCACCCTATACGACACCAGTAATTGTGGCAGGGAGATCACAAGGTGACACTTTTACCCGTACTAAAGGTAGACAGATCTCAGATTGAGCACTACTAGTAGGTATGATGGCATACAATGTACAAAGAATTTAAAAAAAAAAGAGGTCTATTTAGTCAATCTAAATAAAAACATCAATTTTAAAGGACACTTAAGTCGTAAACACATAGATCATGTCAGAAGTCATCTACTGCTATTTACACAACATATTCCTTGCTGAAACAAATGGGAAATAAAGGTCGTGTAAAGATACCTGGAAGTTAGTTCGTTTAGTCCAAATTTGCTTAAGTCAGCTGCAGGATTCCAGGCCTTGTGAACAATTTGTGAAGTAAATGTTCAGAGGTTTTGTTTGCTATTAGTTTTTTTCTTTTTAAACAGGGATTTTACAATATTTATACCTAGTGTAAATGAAATAAATACCACTCCATTTGATGAAAAAAAATTATTCTTGAGCTTCTTAGAAAATAAATTATGTACCAGGTATTTCTTTTATTAACATTACTCCGTACTTTTTTTTTTTACTGAAGCAGTAGGTACACATTTCATGGTTTCGTGGTATCTACTGCACGAGGAGCCTAACTGCACACAGGCACTTGAGACCTGTACTTGACATAGGAATGGGAGTCAGTACCCCTCTGATGACACACGAGCCCATCACGCCAGGAACAACAGCTTCCTGTATTGTCAATTTCAGTGTATTTATACTCACAGATACGGGACAGCCTGGTCCCATTATAGACTGTCTTTATTATCAAGACCTTCTTTGTCTGACTAAGAATGACATGCTATCATATCCTTATACACATGTCTACCCAGCTACATAAGTGAGCATCAGCAAATGCTAGGAAGTAAACCAACAAAATATGCTCATGTATTCAGTATAAAGGCACTTATATTTTCATCTGTTTAGTTATATAACATGATATCAATGACTGTTTTCATGTTCATAATTTGTTTGCAGAGCTGTAACAGGTTAATGATAGTTCATATCTGTATTGGAAATATGTGTGTAAAATAGTGTTTTTCTGTCCAAACCAGGGATTGAACTAGTGAGCCCGGACTTCCCAGTCCTCTACCGACTGAGCTGAAGGTCAGTTCCCTCTAGTGTTAAGCTTGCATGCTACTGTGATCAAACACACAATGAAAGCCTGTATCACAACTTCCTTCACTTAAATCAAAACCTACCACAGGTAAAACATAAGTGTAACATGAGGTAGGTTAGCACTAGGTGTAATAACAGGTGTAACATTAAGTGTAATTCATAAAGCACCAGGTGTAACATCAGGGTGTCGTCAGGTGTAAAAATAGATGTAATACCTTATATAACATCAGAATATCATCAGGTGTAATACCAGGCATAACAACAGGTGTGATACCAGGCATAACAACAGGTGTGATACCAGGTGTAACATCAGGTGTAATACCAGGCATAACAACAGGTGTGATACCAGAGGTAATACCAGGCACAACCACAGGTGTGATATCAAGTGTAATACCAGGCATAACAACAGGTGTGATACCAGAGGTAACATTAGGTGTAATACCAAGCATAACAACAGGTGTGATACCAGGTGTAACATCAGATGTAATACCAGGTAAAACATCAGGTGTAATACAGATGTAACATCAGATGAAATACCAGGCAAAACAACAGGTGTGATACCAGGTGTAACATCAGGTGTAATACAGGTGTAACATCAGGTATAATACCAGGTGTAACATCAGGTGTAATACAGGTGTAACATCAGGTATAATACCAGGTATAACATCAGGTGTAATAACAGATAAAACATCAGGTGTAATACCAGGTGTAACATTAGGTGTAATACCAGGCAAAACAAAAGGTGTGATACAGATGTAACATCAGGTGTAATACAGGTGTAACATCAGGTATAATACCAGTTATAACATCAGGTATAATACCAGGTGTAACATCAGGTGTAATACCAGGTGTAACATCAGGTGTAATACCAGGCATAACATCAGGTGTAATACCAGGCATAACAACAGGTGTGATACCAGGTGTAACATCAGGTATAATACCAGGTTTAACATCAGGTGTAATACCAGGTGTAACATCAGGTGTAATACCAGGTAAAACATCAGGTGTAGTACCAGATAAAACATCAGGTATAATACCAGGTGTAACATCAGGTATAATACCAGGTGTAACATCAGGTGTAATACCAGGTAAAACATCAGGTGTAATACCAGGTGTAACATCAGGTGTAATACCAGATAAAACATCAGGTGTAGTACCAGATAAAACATCAGGTATAATACCAGGTGTAACATCAGGTTAACATTAGGTGAAATACTAGTTTAACTTCAGGATATCATCAGATATAACAGTAGGTAATAGTGTCAGGTTAACATCAGATGTAAAATCAAATGATTCATCTGCCTTATAGTGTGTTGCTAGTAAACCTGATAACTGGCTGACATTCTTCGTTGATATTTGTATATTCCATATATCTGTATTGTAGAAGGGCAATGAGAGAATAAATCAAACAGAACAAGTTTAATTGATCACCTATGACCCAATGACTGAACTCATTTGTGTACTGGGTTAAATCGATGTCATTGACTTTATAACCTCTCATCACGAAAAAATATTTTTTTATTGTGACAACTATCAGTGTTAGAAGAAGAGAAGAAGTATCTTGATATGACGGAAGATCAAATGAATTAACACTGAACAAAAATACTCACGACAGACACTAGGATTGTATAATGACACTATACAGAAACACCTGACAGACAGTAGGATTGTATAATGACACTATACAGAAATATCTGACAGACAGCGGGATTGTATAAAGGCACTATACAGAAACACCTGACAGACAGTAGGATTGTATAATGACACTATACAGAAATATCTGACAGACAGTAGGATTGTATAATGGCACTATACAGAAACACCTGACAGACAGTAGGATTGTATAATGACACTATACAGAAATATCTGACAGACAGCGGGATTGTATAAAGGCACTATACAGAAACACCTGACAGACAGTAGGATTGTATAATGACACTATACAGAAATATCTGACAGACAGTAGGATTGTATAATGGCACTATACAGAAACACCTGACAGACAGTAGGATTATATTATGACACTATACAGAAATACCTGTCAGACAGTAGGATTGTATAATGACACTATACAGAAATACCTGACAGACAGGATTATATTATGGCACTATACAGAAACACCTGACAGACAGGATTATATTATGACACTATACAGAAACACCTGACAGGCAGGATTATATTATGGCAGTATACAGAAACACCTGACAGACAGGATTATATTATGGCACTTTACAGAAACACCTGACAGTGGAAATATATATATAATGGCACTATACAGAAACACCTGACAGACAGTATAACTAGCTAATTGCATTATACAAGCCCAAAGAAACTAAAAAACTAGGGATGTCTCACTCACTTCTGCATATTCATAGACCATGTTACATGGCACATTTCACTCCTACTGCTCCCCAAGTTATAACAGTACAG